GCGCCCTGGCGGCCGCGCGCCGCGCGGCGCTGGGAGCGGTCGGCGGCGGCGGAGCGACGGGGCGCAGTGGGGAGCGCGAGCGCGAGCGGCACGGGCGCGGCGGCAGGCCGCTTGGGCAGCAGCGGGGCTAAGACTGTGGTGAGGCCTGCAGACTGCTGGCCTAGCTGCTGCACCTCTCCCTCCACCTGATCCAGCGGTGGCGCGGCCGTCGAGGCGACAGCCAGGCCCGTGACCCCTGCAGCTGCTGCGGCCGGCGGCCCATCGACAGCCGGCGGCGCGGGCACCGGCGCGGTGGCCTGCGGCGCGCCGGAGACACCGGGCGCAGCCACTGCTGCCGCCGTCGCCGAGGGGGCCGGCGCCGCCGCGCTCGTCCGCGCGCGCTGCGCCGCGCGTGCCGTGGCCGCCGCCAGCGCCTCCGACGTCGAGACTGACGCGGGCCCCGGCCCGGCGGGGCCGCCGCGGTTGCCCGTGGCCGCACCGCTGCTGCTGCTGCTGCCTGCGCCGCTGTCGCTGCCGCTGGGCGCTGCGGCGGCCGCATCCTGCGCCTGCCGCGCGGCACGGGCCTCGAGGCGCTTCTGCGCGCGCAGCCGCGCGTCCCGCTTCTCCCTCTTCTCCGCCTTCTCCCGCCGCTCCTTCTCCTTGCGCTCCTCACGGCTGATGTCCACCACCTGCTTCAGGCGCGCCTGGTCCGCCGGCTGCAGGGCGCGGTGCATGCAGAGGGTCCAGGTGAGCATGAGGACCTCTTCAGCAGCAAAGCATGGCGTGCATACACAGCTGGCTGCACTGCAGAATGCCGAGCATGCATGTGTGCATGCATGCATGTGTGCGCGCGCTGCGCCGCTGCTCCCAAGGCTTACCAAAGGGGTGTACATGCCGTCGTCGCCGCGCTGCATGTCGCCGCCAACGCCGCCGTCCGACCAGCCGGCGAGGCCGAGGTCGGCCGCGCCGACGGCCGGCAGTGCGTCAAGCGCCTGGGCAAGCTGCGCTGAGACTGCCTCAAGCTCGTCGACCAACGCCTGCGCGCTGAGGTCCGCCTCAAAAAGGCCGGCGTCGACGGCACCCGGCGCCAGGACCTCCACCTCCGCGCCCAGGACCTCCTCAACCGCGTATAGACTGGGTTCGATGACGCTGGTGGGCTTGGCACCGCTGACTGGGGCGCGGGAGACCCTCACCGGGCTGCCACGAGCGACGGCAGGCGCCACCACGGCCCTGCTGAGTGGCCTGACGCGGCACATTGGGGCCCTGAAGATACAAGCACACTCGGGTGCGCCCAGCGGGCGAGCCTGAGCGGCCTGCATTTCCTGGCCGAGCCTCGAAGTGGCGAAAGGCTTGCTGCTCCTGCCTTGCCACTGATGCTGCAGGCCCTGATGGCCGCCTTGGGGATCAATACAAGCGCGATGAGATGATTTTTAATGGTGTATTCGTTGCTGCCGAGCCTGATGCCAGCAGGTCAAGTGGCTAGCTTGCTGGCCGAGCTCGGATTGTGGACCAACGCGCGCTGCTTGACGCAGTGCGATGTTGGATGTGGCGTCGTTTGGGGACGCGAAAGGGCGGTGCCGTTGCTGGACGAAAGTTTCTGCCCCCCACAAAAAGGCCGCCGGCTCGAGTTCTGCGCACTTGCCTTCTCAGACAACGTGTAGCTGAGAAGTGGTGCGCGTAAAATTGATGCCGCAACACTTGCCACCACGCCACTCATAGGATAAGGTAGATCGTACTGCTGCATCGACTGAGCGCCACCCGACTCACCCACCCAAAGACCCAACTCACCCTGGCTGCGGCTCCCGGTATACCCTAATCGCCACACCCTATTCGGCAGCTGAGAGTTTTGTTTGTGCTGCCTGCCATGTGCCGTCGAGGCCCTACATCACACTGAGCCGAGCCTTTGTCATGACACACATCGGTGTTGCGTCCGTGGCCTGCTTCGCCAACCACTGGGCCCTCACTCTTACTGCCACCAGCTGCTGCTACAATGCAGAAACGATGTGGATTGTGAACCAGGGGAATGGGCTATAAGCTCAGGTGGGTGAGTGCACATACATGCCAACGGCTTGTGCACCTGTTCTTGTTCAGGGTAAAAAGGGAACGCAACAGGCTGGGGATCAGTGGACTGGCAGCATTTGTAGCTAAAGCTGTGATACAAGCACAATGCACGGTATGCGTGTTGTATCATACCACCTGAATAATAAGCCTTAGAATAACTTCTACGAATGTTGAATCCTCAAAGAAGTGCTAGACTCCCACCCGCCTGCGCGTTATCAGCCCAAGGCAATGAACTTGATTTCAACTCCTGCTGCACCGTCATTCCCCAACTCCTCAGCTTTCCAGACTGTCGATTGCAACACCGCCAGACGGGGCTGCACACAACATTGTGCACCCAGCATGCTTGTGGCTGCATGCCCCCTGCTGCAACACACCATACTCTAGCACCACCGCTGTTGTCCTCGCTCGCACACAGCAGTGCTCGACAGTACGCACCACAGCTGCTGGATCACGCCTAGACGTGTATGCTATGATGCGCATGATGGCGTTCTTGTGCTTGTCATGTAATTCACGGCGCATCGTCATCAGGCCTTGCGCACACACCTGGGATGCTAAAATCATGCATGGTGTGTGTGCATGCACGCGTCCATGCGTGCATGTGTGCATGCACACATGCGTGCGCGCAAGCATGCATATGGACGCATGCATGCGCACCACAGCACACGGTGTGCACGCGGGCACGCACACACGTGTGCAACCTGGCACGCACACAAGACACGTGGGCAGCTGCTTCCCGGGTGATGGGGTCTCGTGTGTGTATGAGTCCACTGAGGGCGTGACGCTGGGGATTTCGGGTAGTGCAACTCCACCCATCAGTGCCTGGCCGCAACGCATGCGCACGCAAGAGCCTCTAAGACTCGCGCAAGTGATCTGGAGCGCGTCCCTTTGAGTGATTTGGAGTGCTGCCATCTTTGAAGTGAGATTTGTGGCTCGCAAATTGTCACTACTGCATCTAGACAGCGCCGCGGGGCTCGTTTACCTGCGGTCGGACCCCTTGCTTCATGAGGGATTTCGACTCGCCGGTTGGAAGGCCTTTAGCGGTGAAATTACGGCGTATGTAGGCGCCTGAAGGCACCTACTGGTGGCCAACGCGTGCTGATGAGCTCTGCAGCGTGCGTGCGTGCGGCCGTTGCATATGGCGCCGCCCGCTGCACCAGCCCGCACAAACCCTCCTGCGCCATGGCGCCATCGCCCCGTTGGTCATCGCAGGTACCACTAGGCTGCAACTGATTTTTTTGTGGCCTCGCACGTGCAAAGGCTTAGCGCGGCAGCGGCACCTGCGGACGGGCCGTCGTCGGTGCTTTCGGCCCTTTGTTTGCGGGTTGGCCTTGGATCACAGCAGCATAGCAGTTGGCAGGGCGTTTGCGCCCACAGTACACTAGCCCCGGGCTCAGCGTCGCAGTAGCGTGGGGCACCGGGGGCAGGCGGCGGGCAGCTGCCCGCGCGCCTAGTCTGTCGTGGGCGACTCAGCTGCGCGCCGGTGCTCGGCGCGCCGGGGCGGGCCCCCGGCCCCGCCAACACAAACCCCTTCCGGCTCGTGCGCTGCGTCTGCGGCGGCCGCGCGGTCAACATGCCGACGTTTGAGCTTCGAAAGCTTATCGGCGAAAAGCAGAGGACGCCGGCTGAGATTGTGGTGGGTTCAGCTGCCGGGTTTCTGTCGCCTGCGCTCGATAGCTTGGGATCAGCGACGCACGGCCAGCCCGGGCGCGGCCGTCGCTGAGCAACTGCAACGCCAGCACGTCGCCACACCAGGGCTTTGCAGCCCCGCCCGGCGTCATCGAAGGCCCGTCGGCCCGCGCGGGCCGGCGCCATGCCCCAACGGCGCACCCGCCCGCGCCCTGCATACCTGCTCCCCGCCCGGCCCCGGCCCCCACCCGGCCC